AGCACTTTGGTGAGCCGAAAGCCGTCCACAATTGGACTGAGGACCAATGCGGCAGGTGCCCGGACTGCTCTGAATTTTGGTTCGTCGCTGGCGTTGAAAGTTATGGACGTGTCGTTCCAGGGGTTTATTGCTGCAACTTGGCAGACTTCAGTGAGGCCGCGGAGTGCCCTTTTGCGCCTATTGTTTGAGGCAAAAGTCTTGAAGACTGTCATCACTATAGGGTTGTTGTCTTCCGTGGGATGTTGCTCTGCGGTATTTTTGGTGAGGAGATCCACGCCGCTCTTGGCCAACTGTCGGAGTATCCAACATGCTCTAAGGTTGTGGGTTGGTACGGTATCCGGTGTTGTGTGTATCCTGCATGGACTATCAAGCCATCCCTCCAGAACGGTTCCGCGCCCCGTAGTGGGCTTTGATTTTTTTTGTTATTGGATCTGCGACCGGCGAGGGTGCATCCTTTTTGTCCGGACAAGGGGTTTAATGGAAACCGGTGGCTCCCAAGAGGCTGCCTGAGTTTTCCAGGCGCTTTCCATTGCGCAGTACTTCTGTATTATGGTTGCCAAGTCAGCAAAGTGTGATACGTGACGGCGATTGATTGCATTGAGGATTCCCTCGTCCGTGCAGTTTTTGCAGAATAATGAGATTGCATCTTCATCGCGGTAGTCCTTGATCCTGTCCTTGACAAGGAGGAAACTGGCCCAAAAGTGATGGACCATTTCTTGGGACTGTTGTCTGATGTAGGTAAGATCGCTTATATCTGGGTGGGTGGGTGGATTTAAGTCTGAACCCTGACCCAATCTGGGATCCGGAGCTTGAGAAAATTCTAAGCTTAACAGTTCGGACTCCGGGATATCAACCAATTTTTCCGGCCCATGGTCCGATTCTAAGCTCGGAATATAGGGCATCTCTTCCCGCGGGCGAGTATTCGGCTCTGTGAGCTCGGAGATGCGAACATAGTTCGTCCTCAACATAGGGGAAGAGTCGTCGCATTGCTCCTCCACTACCGCTATCTAATGGATGATCGATGGAGATTCAATTTCTCTCTGATCAGGTTTAAGCCCAATCTGATCGTAGTCCGTAGTGACCCCCAAGGCGGCGATGCGATCCAGGAGTTCATTTAAAGACGACAACTCCACCGGATCCATCTGTTTGGAGCATTCTCAGCTGACACGAAGGCAATTTTTGATGACCCGAGAGGTCATCGTCGGCCCGACAGCCAAACGGGCGGCCATGGTAAAGCCGCCCAGCCGGAGGGTTTGGCCTGAAGCCAGGGCTCCCCCAGAGGTGACGTTGTCCTTGATGACAAGGCGAGCCATCAAGCCTATCTTCGACGTCACAGTGGAACTCTCAATGAAAGCACCAATGTCGGTGTCAAAACCGGCAGACCTCGGGTAGGGGGTCCCGAACTGTGCGTCTAAGGCTAATGGTAACAGGAGGCGGGGGACACAATGTTTACCCAGGTTCGGGCCCTCTCTATGGAGGTAATAACCTACTTCATGCTTGATTGATCTTGATGAATATGAGTATTACAAGAGTTGATCTACCACGAGACCGTAGTGGCTAGAAGTCTAGCCTATCAGGTTATGATTGTTGTCTTATGGACTAAACCCTCCGGTTTATATAGACACCGGAGGGGGCTAGGGTTACACAAAGTCGGTTACAGAGAAAGGAATCTACATATCCGAATCGTCAAGCTTGCCTTCCACGCAAAGGAGAGTCCCATCCGGACACGGGATGAAGTCTTCTATCTTGTGTCTTCATAGTCCAACAGTCCGGCCACAGTACATAGTCCGGCTGTCCGAGGACCCCCTAATCCAGGACTCCCTCACCCGCTGTAGGGTGTTGCAATATGTTCATGGTTAGCTTATTGTCAGTGTTGCGGGGGTGACAGCAGCCTAAACGCGGATAAGTGGGTCATGGCGTATGGGAGTAAAGAGTACTTGATACTTAATTCTATGGTTGGGTTTCACGACCTTAATGATCTTTAGTAGTCGCGGATGCTTGTTAGAGTTCCAATCATAAGTGCATATGATCCAAGTAGAGAAAGTATGTTAGCTCATGCCTCTCTCTCATATAAAATTGCAAGAATGATTACCGGTACTTGTTACCGATTGCCTAGGGACAAATCACTTTCTTGTTGACAAAAGCTATCCACTCTTACTACCTTGCAATTTATTCGTAGTTTTATTCTCGCAAAGTACTTGTAGTTTTATTCTCGCAAAATAGTTTCATACTTGTTCTAGGTAAAGCAAACATCAAGTGTGCGTAGAGTTGTATCGGTGGTCGATAGAACTTGAGGAAATATTTGTTCTGCCTTTAGCTCCTCATTGGGTTCTACACTCTTATTTATTGAAGAAGACTATAGACGATCCCCTATACTTGTGGGTTATCAGTCTCACTCGCGGATACTCGTGGTGACATTGGATTATCTAGGTGACATTAGAGATGACGCGTATCATATGGTGTTGTCGTAGTACGATCTCTAGAACTATTCGTGACACTTTGGGGTGGTTCATAAGATTGATTGTACGAGGTGGTTTACTACCTACATGATTTTGTCTTACTTTGTTTGATAGGAATAGAGAGTTTGGAGTATTTTTGAGAGATTGCACTAGTGAAAGTATGAACCATGAGCCTTATTTCTAAGCAGTGATATACCGTTTTGCTCGTTGTTTGCTACTTGCTACCTTGCTATTTTTATTTGTTTAGATTATAAAAAAAGTTATTTCTAGCATCCATACTACACATCTATCATCATCTCTTTGTCGAGCTAGTGCACCTATACAACTGACAATTGTATTGGGTGTGTTGGGGACACAAGAGACTACTTGTATTTGCCTGTAGGATTGTTTGAGAAAGACCATCTTTATCCTACACCTCACATGGATTGGTAAATCTTAAGTCATCCACTTAAAGGAAATTTTCTACTGTCCTACAAAACTCTGTGCTTGGAGGCCCAACAAAGTCTACAAGAATAAAGTTGCGTATAGACATCAACCTATTTCTGGTGTTGTTGCCGGGGAGGTGAGTGCTTGAAGGTATCTTCTTTAGATCTTGCAACTGAATCTTTTAGTTTTTTGTTTTTCACTAGTTTAGTTTATAAAAAGAACTACAAAACAATAAATGTGAAGTTGCATCAAATTCTTTATCTTTATGAAGTTTTTCTTGAAAATATGGATTCCGATAGTTATGAAGTGTTAAAAGAAGAATTTAACACAATGTTTGTGTCAGTTCCTTGAATGATAAGCATGATTGTAATGCTGGTAGTATGAATTCTTTGAATATTCATGATGCTAATGATATGCAAAGCCATATGCTTGGGAATGGTATGTTTGATGAAGATGATCTTTTTAGTACCTCTACTTTTGATGAGCAAATTTATTGTGATGTTAGCATACCTCCTATTTAGGATGATTACAATGATAAAAGTGAGGTTGAAAGAGTGTCAACTCTAAGTACTAATGATCTCACTATTTTGGAGGGTGTTGCATCTTATTATAATGATAAAAGTGAATTTGAAAACGTCGTGACTTTATTTAATGATGAATCAACTATTTTGAAAGAGGTTTCAATTGATTATGATGAAAACAAAGCTGCTACTTACAAAGATTATTATGACGATATTTGTGTTATAAAAGGTAGTGATAATTATTCTTATGAATATCCTTTTACTGAACATTACTCTTTGTGTGAAATCAATTTATAGTGTTCAAGTTTTATATGACACTCCCACTATTATAAATGGGAAGAAATTTGCTTATATATGAAAAGTAAACAAAAATTCTATGCTTATGGATCATAAAAAAAATCTGCTATACTAAGTGATAGTGCTTAATCTAAAAAAATTACTACCGGCATGCATAGTAAGTGTTGCAATTATTTTTTTCAAGAAAACACAAAAAAAAACTGCTATACTAAGTGATAGTGCTTAATCTAAAAAAATTACTACCGGCATAGATAGTTTGTTACATCCTCTTAGGAGGCTCCGGTACAGGCAAAAACACAAAAACATCAGTGGACGTCCCAGGTCTGTGGAAGGATGACACGCAGGCCTCGAGCACCCACGGTAGCCCAAAGCGCGGCTTCTTCCTTGATCCTTGCTACCAAGATGCTAGTCGGCTTCTTCCTTGATCCTTGCTACCAAGATGCTAGTCGATGGAGTTGCAGCATTGAAGACGCAATCGTTGCGATGCTTCCAGGTCATCCAAGGGACCAGCAGCGTTGCAGTTGTGAGCCCTTTGTGCATCGGCTTGGGCGTGGCCTGCCGCGCCGTGCGCCACCAGACGGAAAGGGAGCCTTCACCATTAGGCGCGCTGCAAGGTAGGTGCAGCCAAGACAAGTGTTGCAATTTTGAACCAACCACGGTTCAAAACTGTAACATTTGACCGAAGGGAGTACTAAGTAATAATGCCGACGTTTAGTTCTACTCTTTATACAAAGGACATCAATACAGACATAAGCACTACATCTGGGAATTGAAAAGCTATTTCAAACGTCAATAATAATAATACAAAAAAATACATTCATGTCAGCAAATGTTCTTCCGACATTAGTGCGTGTCCTGGAACCATCATCAACGAGTGCCCATAATGTAACTTTGAACAGCAGCCCTGAAATCACTTAAGTGTATTCTTAGTACGTCCTACAACCTTTCATCCTGACAGTTACGCTAGTGTCATGCCTACAAGCACACTCCAATTCGTTGATTAATGTTCTTGCTTATCTTCTCTTTCTGCAATATTAAAACAGATATATGAGCAATCTTTATTTCATATATTAATATTAGTATCTTAAGTGGGAAAAGTTTGAAATACCTTCATCACACAATTAGGCACTCTCTACTGCAGAGACAAGTCAGAAATCCATATCTGGACATCAGAATTCATCATTAAGACATGTACCTCATAGAAATGAACGGATGGAAACACACATGCAAATATGCAAACAAATCAAACATATAACAGTATCAGCACCGAGCCCCAAATCCTACTAGAAGCTTCACACTAGTTGAAAGGACGCATACCACTTTTGAACACCTCTACGTCATCTGATACATTTAATATCAGGCTTAAAGTGCGACTCGGACCTTTGCGACCTTTCCGCATGTGCAATATACCAACCTGTAAATTGAAACAAGTCAAATGTTAAAGATTGATGGTAAAAGGGGAAAAGAAACTCGCATAAGAGAAGAAAGCTTAAAAAACTATACGCGTGGTGACAATTTCAATTTGTTATAAGTATCGTCACAAGCTCAACAGGTCAGTCTGTCTGTTGCTCGTGATGTTACCACATGGTCTTGGTCTTGGGGTAATACTATAAAGGCAGATATACGGTGAAATTTCTATAGATGCTATTAGTTCTTTTACACAGATAAGGAAAGCTGAAATACCTTTCAAAGTTTAAACATTATTGTGGTTGTTAGAGAAAGTGTTCTGTTAAAAAAAGACAAAAATGATAAAAGGAAAATGGCTGTGTGATCCAAAATACTACTCCCTCTGTCCTAAAATAAGTGTCTCAACTTTGTACTAGCCCTAGTACAAATTTGTACTAAGCTCAAGACACTTATTTTGGGACGGAGGGAGTACATCTGAGGTCATCCTGGAACTGTCCAGCATTTGTTATTGGAATCTGCTGAGACAGATTGCTATGCTCATTCAAACTGATGCTATTCCCCAACCAGCTAATTTTCTTCTTATGGGTTGAGAAATTCTTACCCAAAGGTAAAAGAATTTATGCACTGGGCTTAGCAGTTGTGTGCTGGGAAATTTGGAAATTAACAAATAGATACAGCTTTGAAAAGTTTGATTTTAATCTCCTAGTCAGATGATTTTCCACACTTGTGTGGCTGCTAAAACATAAAGCAGAGATACTAAATAGGATGAACAAACAAGAACCCCTACAATGATTACAAGGCATGTATCGGTATGTGGTACAAATAATGGGATGAGATGCTGCTAGTCAACATGTTTCTGCTGATGTACTTCTTCATGCTCCTAATATATGCCCGCACGGGGGCAACTGCAGGATGTGAAAAGGAGGGTAGCGAGATGTGGCAAAAAAGATGCGCTTTCGTGTCCAGTAATCTCTTTTCTACGATTTTTTCAGGTGCCCCTTCTAGACTAGCCTGTTGTAGGCTCGTTTGAGTTAGTTAATTCTGCTTGCCTTACTTTCTCTGGGTTCTGAACTATATTTTCATCCGCTACCTATATAATATCTCATTTTCCATTCATCTATCATGGAAAAGTGGACTCCTAACTTAAATAAAAGAGTAACTAAACACTAATCTGAACAAAATTAGAATAATCTGAATATTTTTTTAATTGATTCACATGAAACTTCTACCTTTTATATAGTATATAGACATCTTATGATCATTTTTTTGCATTTCCCTGTGGTCAACCTACTAACAAATGTCTTGTAACCATGGATAAACATAAGGGCGTTTGTAGCAGATATAAAAAATAAACTGCAGTTAAACATCTTATAAATAAACTTACTGGTATGTCCATGCAGGAACCGATGGCTCCTCCTTGTTCAAGATAAGTCCCGCATATTCTCATAATTAAGTTCTCCAACTGTTAATAGCAACAAGAACAATAAATGTGAGTCTAAGATCGTAAACATGAGCTGTAAGTTTTATATCCACTTTACTCACAAAACAACATGACACATCTACTGCTATTACTATTAATAATAATTACCTCCACTGTGGTAGCAATGCACTCTCCGTTCATGGAGTAAATGATATCACCAGGTCTAACTCCTAGTTCCTCAGCAATTGATCCATGTGACACCTACAGTTCAATTTGTCATGCACTATTCGATAGCATGAAAAAGTAAGCATTTTACAAGAAAACAAGGAATAGTGGACAACATATACCTCAATAACTATTAGACCCGAATCGACATTACACTTACGGAAGATCTTCTCCGCACGAATTGGATCTAGATATTTAATGGCTGAAAGCTTCATCCCAATATGCAACCGAGGGATACACCTTGCAAAATTATCATTTATCAGATTCCACAAATGATGAACAATATCATAGAAGTTAAAAAAAAGCAATTTCGATAAATAAAGCTTTGTGCCTAAAATATTGAACAGAAATTGGACTTAGCAATCTAAGAACAATTAAGTAAAACACAAGTATACCAAATACATCATGTTTCCTCAGGATATTTGCTCATTACTAAAATTGTACAATGATAGCAACAAAAGAAAAACTTACTGAAATTTTTTCCACATATCCAAGCACTTCAATATAATAGAGCAAGGGATAAATGCTGTTCCTGGAAAATTAGCCATCCCCAAAACTTGCCCATTAAAATCAATAACGGGTCCTCCAATGCTAGCCTAAAATATTTAGATTGCAACGTTAGAACCATAATAAGCAACATAAGTTAATAATAATTTATGACACACTCATGATGAAGATTATTTATACCTGCTTAATCACACAACCAGTGAACAAATGGTGATGACGTTCATATGTAGTTGGGCCCATAAATTGAACACATCCATGATGCACAGTCAAATTTAGATCTTCGTCTCTACCAAGCACAAATATGTCTTGACCATAGAACACTTCATTATTGAAGGTAGGAATCTTAGCACACAAGTCTATATCAACCTTAAACAAGGCAATATTGATGTGCTTGTCATATTGAAGCAAGTGTGCAGGTACAGTAGTATCATCTTGATCCAATAAATAAGCAACAACCTGAAGATGATCCAAGAAATTGAGAGTCCGGGTGGAGCAGTATCATGTACATGTGTATTTATGTCATGCAAAAACATGTATTGCTTGCAAGATGGTATTGTAGAAAAAATAGAGTTGGAAGCCCACTTGCAAGGCACAATTCAAGAGCAGATGCTATATAATAGAAAGCACTAAAAGAAACATGTATTTATTATTGTGTTTCTATGTTGTTCTGTCAAATGTTATGCAAATTTAACCTACAATGGACAAGGAAAGTTTTGTACTGCACAAGCAGATTAAATCTAGCAACACATTAGATGATTGGAACTACATAGGATAAAGGAAATGAAACAACAAGGTACAAAAGCAAGGGAACTACTTCCACTGTCCCACGTGTGATGAAGAACCAGGGAAGACATGTTGAAGGTAAATTGGATGATATCTCATCATTTATGCAGTAATTTATTTATACTGCACTAACCATATGTGCCATTTTACCAAAGTACAGAGTTTTGACATGGCCGTGATGGATTTAAGGTTCCAATCTCAGATGGGAGTCTCAAGAAAATAATTTGACAAAAAATATTGTGTACAAGGAGATTATAGTGCAAGAGACCTCAGGATGTTTGTTAGTTTATTACTTTACGTGGGGTTTTAGAAGTGGAAATTTGTACGGTTTTTACATTAGAAGATATTTTGGATACCTACATTTGCACAATTAATCTATAAAATATATAGGTGGTGTATTGCTGTACGAGGCCTCAGACAATATGTAAACTGTCGACTGACATAATCAGACCGAAAATATTGACTAACAAGTAAGCATTGTTTTTAAGGCGTCGCTTAGGCGTCAAGGCGCCCTGCGAGCTCGAGACGTCCAGCTTGCCTTATGTACGTGCGTAAGGCGTCCGCCTTAAGCTTTAGAGCGTCCGAGGCGTCTGCTTAGGCGTCCAGGTTGGTGCCTTAGTCCATACTCGACGCCTTAGCTTGCCAGGCAGGCAGGGGAGCTGTTTTAGGCGGGGAAACAGAAAGGTTGTTAGCGCCAACAGGTAAGAGGGGGGAGAGAGAGAGAGAAACAGCCCCC